GTAATAATAAGAAAGCACATTTTATGCATGTAGAAAAATAAGTTAACAGCCAATATGCTTGGAAAAGTCAGAAATGTAATTTATTTCTCAACAGCAAAATCAAATTTTATTAGTGAAAAAGAAATGGACTATGCTAAAAACAAAAGACAAAAAATATCAGTTCATAAGTGCTAAGTCATTGCCTGACAGTATATATACCTTTGCTAGCTTCAGAGAGGAAGTATTATATAAATTAAAGAAATAAATTCAATAAAATAACTTTAATGTTATTAAAGATGAATGAGACTCAGACATCTTCTCAGAAATTTACTGTTCTTCAAGGGTAAAAGAACAAATAATATGAAAATAATGATGGGGTTAGGATACACTACCTCAAAATCCAAAGCAGGAAAGTCACTCTAATCTTCCTCTCACCCTGAAGCAGGTCATAAGACCCTCATGTGAGAGATGCCTTCCCCATACCCAAAGAAAGAGAACCTGGTTTTCGGAGAAAGGAACATCCTTATCTCTGAAGATGGAGTCACAGAGAAGACTCTGAACAAGCTGCCTTGCTAAATTCACCCCAGTGGATTACCATTAGGTCACACCCACTAGACCAATCATATTTCTCCACAACTCTCTACTTTTCACCAAACCCAGAATAAAAACACTTAGGTATACCCATTTCATTGGGTTTCCCTTTTCTCTTAGAGGCTCTATGTTATGTAAAACTTACCTTAAATTTGTGTGTTTTCATCTTGATAATCTGTTTTTTTGTTATAGGGTCTTAGCCTTATGCAAAGATATTTTTCTTCCCCCAAAATAACAGATGGTATAAGCTTGAAGTAATCTAGCATGTTTCTTTTTAAAATCCTTAAACATATTTACTATCATGTTTACTCTCATAATTTAATCAACTTATAAGTGATAATATATTTTTTTAAATTTTGCTGTAGGGGGTGTGAACTGTCCAGGGGCTGTAGGGGGAGAGAAAGTGAGAGAGAGAGAGAAAGTGAAAAGGCAACCCTCAAGGGAGAAGACCACATCACAATCCCTTCTTCTCCATTCTCTTCTTGGGATTTTGGGCATGCACACACATATGCCCAGAGTGTTTTTCAAGCCACCGTGTCTGGGACTCAAACCATGCAGTTAGCCATGTGGGATCTAGCTACCTTACCAATCATGTCACTTAGCTGGCTCAGTAATAGTTATTTTTTTCTTTAAGAAAAACTCAGTATGTTAAAAAGAATCATTAATACAGTAAAGTGAGCTAGTTTACATTATACTTAGGAACACATTTTATAATAAGACCAAAACTTATTTTCTTATAAAATTAAGAAAATTAACATAATGTAATGGTCCAGAGCCCAGCCCCTAATTGTCAGAAAGTCCTGTGTTTGAATCAAAACTCTGTCTACTATTGGCCATGAGTCTGTAAGTCACTTTACTTCCCTTAAGCCCCACTGCCACCACAATGAACTTGGCAATAGTAATATGAGGGGTGTTCCAAAAGTTCTTGAATAATGCATAATAGGAATAAAACACTGCATAGATTTCAAAAATGTTTTGCCCTTGGGAACCAGCAGTTAGCGTAATGGCTATGTTGCTGGAGTCCCACATAGTCGACCGCGGTTCGTGTCCCGGACCCGGTGGCTAGAAACTCACACCGGTGCGTGTGCGTGCGTGCCCAAGATCCCTAGAGGAGAATGGAGGAGAAGGGATTGTGGTGTGACCATCCCCTCTGGGGGATTATTTCTCGCTTTCTGTCTCTATGTCTCTCTCTGTCTGTCTGGCGAGCGCACGCGCCCTACAGTGAAAATCTCTCCCAAAAAAAAAAATGTTTTGCCCAAATAAACTTATAATTTAGTTATATTTTTTACATAATTTTTTTAGGTTTCTTCCTTCACCCCACCTTCTTCCTTCACCCCGCCCCCACCCCCCACCCAAAATAGGGTATGTACATTCTACAGAGAGAGAGAGAGGGAAAGTGAGAAATCATCCCCCAGGGGAGATGGCCATGCTGCAATCTCTTCTCGTCTATTCTACTCTTGGGATTTGGGTACACACATAAACCTGGTGTTATTTTCTTTTCCTTCCTTCCTTCCTTCCTTCCTTCCTTCCTTTATAGAGATTTTTGCTATAGGATACATATGTTCACTAGAGAGACAGAGAGATAGGAAGCGAAAAATCACCCTCTAGGGTGGATGGCCATGCCACAATCCCTTCTCCATTCTCCTCCTGGGATTTTTAGCATGCACATACACATGCCTGGCTTGAGTTTTAAGCCATTGGGTCCAGGACTCAAAGAGTGGTTGACTATGTGGGAGTCCAGTAGCATAACCATTTTGCCATCTGCTGGTGCTGTTCTTTTCAAGCCACTGGGTCTAGGACTTGAACCATGTTTGGCCACATGGGAGTCCAGCACCTTAACCATCATATCACATGCTGGCCCCTTTCACACACTTTTTGAAGTTTCCTCATAACACCTACCTGTCTTAAGGTCTTTCTAATGATTAAACAAAATGATGTGTGAAAGTGCTTAATCTATGCCTATTAACACATAACAATTTCCATAAATATTTGCTATATCATGGTTACTTAGACAAAAAGATTCAAGTATAGAACACATTCAAAATATAAATATTCTGTTAATATTCCTGTCAGGAAATTTTAACAATTATTGTAGAGATCTAGCTACCTTCTAAGGTTCTCTTTCGTCCCATTTTAATATGTTTCCATTTCTACTTTCTTGTCTGCTGGGATTCTATTGTAACTTCACGAAATAAATGTCTTTGGTTAGCTTTCTTTTACTTACCTCAGAAATATCACCTGCAAAATCTCCGTAAAACAGGTCAATGGGAGAATCAGATGCTTTGGGGTTGATCAGGAGGGCATCGAATTCCTTGCCCACTTCAAAGTTTCCAATCTCACTATCCAGCCCCAGGGCTAGAAAGGGGGACAAGTGATAGACAGTCAGTGTTGCAAGTCATCAGACCATGCTGATGGCTGTTTACAAGAATCTGCTAAGTCACTAGAAAACAAATTAGTATCTTAATAGTGAGGCAGAAAAGTGGTCTCATTCCAATAGGTCACAAGACTTCTACAAACACAAAGCAGAGACAGCACGAGAAAGAAAATCTGAGAATAAAAACAGTTTCCTTTTATCACTATGATCAGAATTCTGATCGCGTCTCTCTCTTTCTGCTCCATCAGTGCATTTCATAGCCCAGCTGGTCTAGGCTTTTCATTTATCTAAGAAACATGATGATTGACATAATACCTTTCTTCTCTTCCCCTTCTGCCCACCCCCAACACTCCACTTCTTGCCTTGCCTTTTTTGTTCCATGAAATAGTTTATATGATTTAGTTCAATGGCAGTGAAGTTAACATCAAAAAATAAAAATAATGATCTTTTTGTGTATTTGCTGATATAGGCAGATCCCTCAGAAATTCCTTAGTTTAGGACCAGCAGGTGGTGTGGAGGTTAAGGCAGCTGAATCCCAATTCTGTGGTTTGAGTCCCAAACCCAGAGGCTTGAAAATCATGCTGGGCATGTCTGCAAGAGTGTCCCAAATTCTGAGAGGATAATGGAGGAGAAAGGATTGCTGCATTTGTAGGGAGGGAGGAGGAAGTGGTGGTGAATTCTTATTCTCTCTGTCTCTCTCTGGCGAGCACATGCATCCTACAGCAAAAACTTTAAAAAAACAAAATTCCTTAGTTTAGTCCTTTGAACAGGAAAAAAACTCATTGGTCCCAATGGTTTTAAAAATCAAACCAATGTCTCTATAACCTTGAGGGTTTCCTGGCTGCCTGAGAAGAATGGTTTTCTAAAATAGAGCACAGGTCAATAATGTCTATTGACTTGGCCTATCTCACAGCTATCATTCATGTTCTACAATTGTTGGACATCATGAAAGATCATAGCTCATCTTTATGACTTAGTTTCAGAAGATGGGGAAGTTGGTTTTTCTGTTCAATGAAGATACTGAATTTAAATTTCCTTAAAGTCTGTAATCTATGCCTGGTGGACTCTCAGGTAACAAATGGAAGCTGCAAGAAAAGAAGGTTAGCCAGAGTGCAGCATTGTTTATTTCAGTTTCTACACATTTGTTGCATTCCGTTACTGTCATGATATGGTCCCGTGAAAATACTGATTATACCTTGTTGGCAATTTCTGACACATTACACATATTTCTATGTGTCGGCCTCCAGAAGTGTTGAAAATTCTCTAAGCACCATTTTAGAAATTTTACTTGTTCTTAAAAGATATATAAAGGGCAACTCTTTTATTCTCAGAAAAGAAAGGTTTTTTAGCTAAAGAACTCTCATTACAACACAAGGGTATGAAATAATTAGAAATGTTAAAAGCAGTTAGGTGACTTCTACTAATTGTGTGGGGAAGGACTAAATGTAATAGAAAATCACTGGAATTCTCTCCTCCTTCACTGATCTCACTCGATTTCTTTTGATCCTTGACAAAAAAGTATGACAAGTGTGAAGTTTTAATAACTAAATTTAGTACACAATCGTTACATGTTTAATAGGCCAGATAACCAAGTACATTTGCCAGTGTCCAGGCAAATATGGTGTTCTAAATAAACTAACTGGTTTTTCATTAGAACCTGGAAAGTTCAGAAATGAACTAACCAAGAAAAAAAAAAGCTTTCACCTAATTTGTAAATTGATGTAAATTCAGATTGTTGCAGATGGGCCCAGCTGGACTAATAAGTGACTAAAATGCATTTCAGGAAATGCAGTTTTGCTGCCTTTGGAGCATTAGTGAAGATGATTTATACATATCTTAATCTTCTGCAGATTAAACATGAAGGCCTTGGCAAAGGAGGGAAAATGACATGTTTTAAATGAGGACCCATTCATCTCATTTCACCCAGTCTACAGTCGAGACACAAGCTAAGGAGAAGAAATTCCATAACAGTAAGCCTGGTGGCCCAGAAAACAGATTTAAAAGCTACATAGCAAGGTAGAAATAATTTCGTAGGCACCCATGCTGGCTTGATCAGAAACAGGATCCTGATGAAACAACTCACAGAAAGCCTAGAATAAAAAGAGTACTATTTAAATACAACTCATTTGCACCATGAAAATGGATGGTAAAACTACTACTTGAACTCGAACTCAGATGTGCAGATAGAGGGGTGGTGTGGGTTGAGAGGGTGTCAGACTCGTGTAAAAACTGGGCAATTTGAAACTTGGAATTTTAGAAAGTGAAATCATAAGACTAAGGGAAATGTAAAAACATAATCTCTACTTTTTTTTTGAAATGTCCTCTTTGGTTTCATCATAATCTAGAATGCTCAAAGAATTTGGGAAGCAAGCACCTCTTCCCAGGATACTTAGCCTCAATCATCTTCCATTTCTAAGACCCACGGTATCTATCATAAATTATATATTTTATATTTATATATTTATAAATATATTATGTATATTTATATATTTACTTACCTATATAAATATATAAGTATATATAAAGATATATTCATATAAATAATATAAATTATTACATATTTATCTATCTATATCTACATTCTCATTTCTCAATAGCTACCTATGATTTCAAGCTATTTTCATTATCTTCTATTCAGATTACACTATTAATCTAAAGTGACTTAAAACAATACAATTATCAATTTCTATTTATTCCATAAAAATAGTTATAAGAGAGAACTGAGAAAAGCTGATGAATAATATTTCCATAGCAACCAACAGTTTTACATCTCTTTCTCTTTCTCTCTCTTATTTATTTATTTTTTTAGTTTTTTGCTATAGAGCTTGTAAACTTACTGGAGAGAGACAGAGACAGAGAGAAAGAGAGAGAGAGAATGTGAGAACTCATCCCCTGGGAAGTTGGCCATGATACAATCCCTTCTCCATTCTCCACTCAGGATTTTGGACGTTCACACCCATGTGCCTGGCATGATTTTCAATTCACTTGCTCCTTGACTTGAACTGTGGAGTTGACTATGTGGGATTCAGCCACTTTAACCTCCATACCACCTGCTGGGCCCTATATCTTTCTCTTTTTAAAGTGACTTGAGTAATTGATACATTTTTTTAAAAGAGTTATTTGATTTAACTTTATTTATGTACTTATTTTTCAATTTGACCAGAGAGAGAGACAGAGTGAGAGAAAGAGAGAGAGGAAAAGTGAGGAAGCAAACTGTCAGGTCTGGGACTCAAACCGCAGTCAGCCATGTGGGAGTCCAGCGCCCTTAACCACTACGCCACATGCTGGCCCTGAGTAATTCATACTTAAATATATAAACTAAACACATGGTCTGGGCAGGGGTTTATTCAGGAACAAACCATAGTGAGGGCAAAAGGTAAGAATATCTTTCTGTTCAAGCTTTCCTTCTAATAACTTGTGAATTCTCTCCACTCTGGCATCAGATTTTCTGGATTCAAGGAGTAACACCCTATAACTTGACAGCTATATAGATCTCACTCCTGTCACTTGTTTGTAGAGTGAAATCAATAACAGTGGTTGTGAAGATTAAATAATGACATAGATAAATGTGTTGTCTAGTGTCTATCACATGGTAAGAGCGTAGTAAGTCTTGACTATTATGTTATCATTCAGGCCAATAGAGAATATATACTTGATTCAATAGAAGAATAGATTTATTTTTTTAAATGATATAAATATCTATCAATTTGTTAATATAATAATTATGTATCAGACAATTATTCTGCCAAAGACAGTGAATTTATTGAAAGCATGATTCCTCCACTGCATTCCAAAACTTAACCTTCACTGGCTAAGTTTTGTTATGTTGAGATGCAACAGTCACGAATGTTGGTTTCTCCCGATACCACTGTTATGCACCTTCACACTGCAATCCCCATATCGGCAGGTCTTACATTGTGTGGGAGATAAATAAAGTCATCATTACCTTGGCTTCCTCCAAGAGTAGCTAGTCTGAAGACGTCTTTGAGGGTGAGGCTTTTCTCATTTACCTTATTAATTAAAAGGATATTGGAAACCATCACTGCTCTTCTGATTGCATCAAGCATGGAAGATGAATAACCACCAGCCACATCTAGGATAAGCAAAATAAAGCCAAAATAGTAACCTTATGGGAATAAATGAAATAATAGGTATACAAGGTTGTTTTCAGTGACATATTGTCTTCCCTCTATTTACAGAAAAGCTCTGATCTATAAACACCAGACAGCCACAAGCTAACATTTAAAGAAATACAAAACCTGTAGCTAGTATGAAATGTATACCTATATTAGTTTTCTAGGACTGCTACAATAAATCGCCACAAATATTTTGGTTTAAAAAAGAAGAAAATTTTTCTCTCAGAGTTTTAGAAGTCAAAAGTTGGAAATCAAAGTGTTGACAGGACTACGGTCCCTACAAAAGCTCTAGGGAAAATGTTTTCCTTGCTTCCTCCAGCTTCCGGTGGCTCCTAGAGTTCCTTGGCCAGTCTCTACCTCCATCTTTATATAGCTTCTTCCCTCCGTGCTTTCGTGTATCTCTCCTTTTCTGACTCTTATGGATAGGGGTCACTGGGTACAGGACCAACATAGTTTCTGAATGATCCCACCTTGAGATCCTTACCTTACATTTACAAAGACCTTTATTCCAAATAAGGTCACACATACAGGTTCCAGGAAATATCTTTTGGGAGACCATAAGTAAACCCCCTATAATACCTAAATGGTTATTAAAGTGAAGAAAAGAAATTATTTTCTCTGACTCTTGCCTGAATTCCCACCCAAATGGTTTAAATATATCTATATAGTAATAAAGTTAATCTAGATAACATTAAGTGTTATTTTAAATAAACTCAGTTCTATACTCTACAAATTTGTTTTAACTATTTTAATTCAAATGAGAACTTTTGGGGAATGAAAAAGTCACTTATTTATGATGATTTTTCAGGAAAAACCTTAAGACTGAACTTATACATTTTAAGAAATTCATATAACCAATGAGCTATGCTGGTGTTTTTTATGTTGGTTGGTATAGTTAAGTAAGATTTCTAGTGATTTAAATGAAGTCTCTCACCATAATTAAAATGAAGTACTACCTCTGATAAGAACAAATGTAGAACTTATAAATGAATTTTCACAAATAAATGTCAAGTATGTTAGCATGTTTTTAATAGAGGAAAATGCATGTGTATTTAATAAAATATACTTTACATATTAAGAGTTCCTTTTGTCATTTTTAGGTGGACATATGTAATTGTTAGTGCAATGATCTAAAGTAATGGCATATTAATAGTAATTCTAGATTACAACTCAATTTTGTGTTCAATTGTCTAACATGTCTTTAGGTAAGTTTGCATGTTTTGTTTCCTTTTTAGAAAATGCTTTTCTTTAACCATAACAGAATTGCCAGAGAATCATCCAATTTTCTGAAAAATTTTATGACATCTACGTTATTAACCCCTGGTAAATATACAGTAACCTTCATTACACCTTCATTTTTAAAGTAGCATCAAACTAAGAAAACAAATACAATTTAGGAATGAAGCACATTAAACTTTGAAATATTTTGTCACTGATTTATTCATTGCTAAAACAAACAAACAAAAAAATGAAAAGCCAGAATAAAAATTTTATCACTACATGGTATGAAAACAGGTAGACTCTCTCTATATTTTTAATAATCCATAAAAAATGACAGGAAGTCAACATAGAAAAACAAAAGCAATGCAATCAGAGTGGTGTGAAAATAGATTTAAATACTTGCATTTACCTTTGTTTTTAAATGCTTTTATAAAGTATCACAAAAAGTTGTATTTTCCTAAATTCCTAATCAAAATTATAGGGTATAATATAGAAAGAATACACACAGAAAAAAACAAGACTAGATTAGAAAATGATAAACAATTCACTGGGAGGGAAAAAAAACTGAGATTCCTTATGCGGTTGATTTAATCATCCTGATTGCCAATATTATGTTAATAAAACACCTCCAACAAAGGAGCAAACTACTATCAAAGAATAAGCTAAAGGTCACATAAACCACTATGTTTAAGTCTGGACCATTTGTGTAAGAGAAAAAAAAAGAGTCAAGCTTTTCTCCCAGGGATTTCCAATACAAATAACTTGCTGCCCTGCTGGGAGAGTTTAGTGGCTTCCCTTGTCAACTACAACATATGTAACGTCGGTGGAATTCCTATTTTATCAAATAACAAGAAGCAGTGTGGTAGAAGAGAATAATGACATCCACATTTTACAGACCTAGTTTTAAAATATGGATGTGGAATTTATTTATTTATTTGCTGTATTGACCTTTTGTTAGCTACTTAGTATCATTAAACCTCAATTTTATCAGAAATAACATCACTATCTTAACAGTTGCTGAGAAATTTCAATTGCATAACCCAAGTGCTGGAGGATAAGGACCAAAAGGTGAAACTGTGCAGAGGAGGGAAGAAAATGGAAGCATTTTCTCTGAAAATCTTCTTTGCCACCTCTTTCCCCCGATTGTCATCATAATAAAGATAATTGCTGTCAGAGTCAACATAAGGACACTATTGTTTATAAAAAACAATCTCAAGAAACCATACCAGAGTGAAAACTTGAGCCAGAGGACAATGGAAAGACAATAGGAAATGATTTCATATCTGTGTGTTATCATTTCTTTTTTTTTTTTTTAATTTTTTAGCTATCAGCATATATGATCACTAGAGAGACAGAGAGAAATGGAGAGAGGAAAAGTGAGAAATCATCCCCCGGGGAAATGGACATTGTAATCCCTTTTCTTCCATTCTCCTCTTAGGATTTTGGGCCCATGCACACAGATCCAGCGTGAGTTTCAAGACACTGGGTCTGGGACTCAAACCATGGTTGGCCTGGTGGGAGTACAACACCTTAACCAGTATGCCACTGGTTGGTGTTCTGTGTTCATTTCTTATGCATTCATTCATTTAGTCAATAATCATTTACTGAGTTATCTCTATGTGCTTGATTATTTCACATTATAAACATGATTTATGTGCTCCCCATACAAGCTAATTATTTAGTGGAGAAGAAAGAGTAGAGACATAAACAAACAGATTAATGTTAAATTGTATTCAGTTTAGTGAGAGGGAAATGGAGATAGAAGGCCCATTTTGATAGGATGGTCAGGGAGGACCTCTCAAGGCCATGACATTTAAAATAAGGTAGGAATGAGAGCTTGGCCACATAAAAACAGGCATAAAGTCTTTCCAGACAGAGGAACAGGATGCACAAAGGTCTTCTGGGAGTAAGGAGTGTGAATCATAGAGGGGATTAGAAGCCAGGGTTTGGAAGAAGAGAGTAGTGTGAGACAAGGGTTGGGAAATGGATGGGAGTGGAATCACACAGAGGCTTGTGGGCCTTGTAAGGAGACTTTCACATTTAGAATCTCACTGAAGGGTGGTGAGTACAAGGGGGTGAAATAATCACATTTTTCTATTGTGACTTTTTGAAAAGAGAAGAATGGATTAGAAGGGTCCAGAGTAGGTATGAGACCCATCAGGAAGCCCGAGCAATAGTTCAAGCAAAAAAACTATTTTGGCTTGCATCAGGCGGTGGTGGCTGATGTGGGAAAAATTCAGGAGACAAAGGAGCATAAAATTTGACATTGTGCTGGCTTTGACATTGGGAAGAGGTGAGGGAGAAGACAGTTCCAAGGAATGGTCAAATTTCTAGTTTGAGAAACTGAGTTCTCTGGGAACCAGCAGATGGTGTAATGGTTACATCAGTGTATTCCCACATAGTTGACTGCATTTCAAGTCCTGGACCCAGTGGCTTGAAACTCACACTGGGCACATTTGTGTGTGTGCCCAAAATCCAGAGAGGAGAATGGAAGAGGAGAAACTGCAGTATGACCATCTCCCCTGGGGGATGATTTCTCACTTTCTATCTCTCTGTCTCTCAGTCTCTCCTGTGAGCACCCATACCCTATAGCAAAAATCTCTCTCTCTCTCTCTCTAAAAAAAGAAAGAAAGAAAGAAAGAAAGAAAGAAAGAAAGAAAAGAAAAGAAAGAAAGAAACAAACAAAGAAACAAAGAAACTGAATTTTCTGAAAAGGAGAACTATTTAAGAGAACTGAACTTAAATTTTTTGGAGGTATAATGACATTTGGGGGTTCCTTCAGGAGAAGTCTAAGAGGAGATAGATGAAAACAGCCCAAAACAGAAGTTTGGAATTCAAGAGAGTAAGGATTGGATAAAAAAATCAGTGAGACATCTGCATAGATGTAGTCATATGAGGTCATGTTTGTGGCTAATGTTACCTAAGAAGAAAGTATAGAGTGAAATGAAGAGAATACCTAAGACTGACAATTGAAGAAAGATTTTGAATGGCTAAGAAGAAGAAAATGGGTCTTCAGAGAAGAAAAAGAAGGACTGGCAAAAGAAGAAGAGAAATCAGTCAAAGTTGCTTTTTTGAATCCAATACTATGAGATCATTCAGAAAAAGAGGATAGTCACCCATGGCGGACAGCCCTGAGAAGCCCAGTGCAATAAGAACAAAATGGCGTCCTTCACGTTTGGCAGCAAAGAGCACAGTGGTGAGAGCCTGGAGAGAAAGGACAAAGATAGCTGTCATGGAGAGAAGGCATGAATCTAGACAGAAGTATTAATAGATGAAGGAATGCAAGCATGCCTAAAAAGCTGTGACAGTGTGGGTACTCACTTATTGGAGATGTTTTTTCAAGAAGGGAAGTGGAGGGGTGGTCCAGGAGCCAGAGGGAGATGTCTGATTAAGACAGAGGTCTTGGCGCGGGGTGCCCGGCGGAAGCCGCGCGGGGCGCGGGAGCTCATGCCCCCGGAGCGGCGGCGCCCGCCAACGAAAGAAGGGCCCCCCCGCAGCAGCAG